TAGGAGTCCGCAAAGGCTTTTTTGGTTCACAAAGGGCCAATATCTATTTTCAGTATTCACCAACCCTAAAGGAAATAATATATTCATGAATAATTATACCTCAAAGTCATACAACACAGGATGATATCAAGTATCTTTTGGCTTTTGCTAGAATATATGTTTTCTGATAATGCTGGTTAGTAGATGGTGGCTGCTTTCTTTGGTAATTACATGTCTGGGCATTACAAATATATATATATGTATATATGTACATATGTATATTTATTGCTGCTTAATTTAATAGTTACTTAAACTTAGCATTTCTGTTTCTTTTTTTTAATCTTTATTGTTGAGAGTATTACAGATGTCCTCCCCTTTTTCCCCCCTTGCCCCCCACCTCCGGGTTCCAGCCCCACTCCAGGCCTTTATCACCCTATTGCCTGTATCCATGGGCAATGTACATATGCATATAAATTCTTTCATTAGTCTCTTCCCACCTCTCCTCCCTTCTTCCTTCTGAGATTCCTCAGCCTGTTCCATGTTCCCATGCCTCTGGTCCTATTTTATTCATCATTTTATTGTGTTCATTAGATTCCACATATAAGTGAGACCATGTGATATTTGTCTTTCTTTGACTAGCTTATTTTGCTTGGCATAATCATCTCCAGGTCCCTCCATGCTGTCTCAAAGGGTAAGAGATCCTTCTTTTTTACAGCTGCATAGTATTCCATTGTGTAAATGTACCACAGCATTTTTATCTATCCATCTAAATGTATTGGGGTAACATTGGTTAATAATATTATATAAGTTTCAGGTGTACAACATTATCGTACAATGTCTGTATACTCAGTTGTGTATTTACCAGCTTACCACCTGAAATCTAGTTTACTTCTGTTACCATGTATTTCAAGGATTTATGTTTTCTTTAAACACCTTTTTGGTCCATACTTTGAAAGAATAATTAAGATATGGTCAGGGATCAAAATAGGAATATAGTTTTATTTTACAACATAATGTTAAGTGCTAAAGCTGAAACTCACTCTTCTCAGGGAGTTTTAATTAGGGCATATGGGGTATGATAGAAAACAGTCTTTGAGCTTCCACTTATACATGATACTATGCAAGGTGCTCTACCTATACTATCTTACTTTAATTCTCATGACTACACTATGAAGTGTAGATGGAATTAGTTTTAATTTACATATGGGAAAACCAAGACTCAGAGAGATGGAGTAACTTGTAATGGCTTTAATCACTTGAAATAATATTTACATGTAATTGATATAATAGCCACCAGCAATCATCACAGTATAAATTTTTTCTTTAAGAATATGTATAATTTGTTAAGTGTGACAGACCAGCATTGCATATATAGAGCTTCTTAATAATATAACAAAATTTAGGGATTATTAAACTATCAGGGCACTCCCTTCCCCCATGAAAATAACTTTCTCTGATTATTTAATAGATACCATTGTAAAGAATTCAGATAATACATAAAAATAAAGGAAGAAAATAATGGTCACTAAAATCTCACCACCTGCGATGCAAAAAAAGGAGGATCACCAAAATATTTTTGCATTACTTTATGAGAACTTACAATTTTATACATATAGGATTATATTACACAGGAAATGTTTATAAAATACCATCTCTCTCACTTCTCCCTCACCCCCCTGTCAGTACACACCATCATCTTTACCATCCCAGGTAAGCCTTATTCACAAGCTAGTATGTGTCCTATGTTTCTCTCCATGCTTAAATAACCTTTTACTCGTATAATCCTATACAGACCTATATATGCACTTACATTGAATTCTAGTCACAATTAGTTACTATCAGTGAACATTCGAGTGCTTTTTAAGTGCAAGGCTTTGTGCTACCTGTGGGACAGCTACAAGGGAGAGTAATGTATGGCCTGTATTCTCAGTTACTTTACAATCTGTGAGGAGAGGTGAGCAGGTAAACAACTTGTATTATACAAGACTTGCTTTGATATCTGCTGTTGGGTAGAAATGTTGGGTGGAAACACAGCCTGGGAAGCCCTGCAGGGGAGCTCCCAGACTGCAGAGGCCTTGCCTTTTTGATTTTTGTGGGCATAAACCCTTGACACATGGGATTATGCCCAGTGTCTGTAAGTAAGTAAATGTCTATAAATAAGGTCAAGTGTTCAAGTGAAACACAAAAGATTATTCTGTTGACTGGTTTAAGTGGATTAGCTCTTGTCGTTTGAGAGCCCAATAGAGGAGTTTGTATTTTCGTTAATGTTTAGGCATTTTGTAATAAGGAGGAGGCTGTAATATTTTGCTGTACAGTTTTGTCTGTATAGTGCATGGCAGTTTGAAATTTAACATAGTGTAAGTAGTGATACTTTCTAGCACAGAAATCCTTATTTGCTCACAAGTAAGCTTAAACATTCACTTTGATCTTAGATCTAATGCCTAGATTGAATGAGAATTTACATATTTGCATATGCCAAATATAAAACTTATATAGCAAGAATATTGGAGAGAGGAGAGAAAACACATTTCCAATGAAATGTATGAGAGTGTTTAGGGCAAGTGATGTTGATTTTATCGTAACCCTGAAAGAATTCTTTTTTTTTTTTAATTTTATTATTGTTTAAAATATTACAGATGTCTCTTTTTCTCCCCAATGACCTGTTCTACCCCGTTCCTTCCCTCTCCCCAGTCCCTCTCCCAACCATTGTCCATGTCCTTGGGTTGTGTATATATGCATATAAATTCTTTGGTTACTCTCTTCCCCTCCACCCACCCGCCCTCCTCCATCACGCTGACATTCATCAGTCTCATCTGTGCTTCCATGTCATTGAATCTATTCTGTTCATCAGTTTATAAAGTTCTTTAGATTCCACGAATAAGCCAGATCATGTGATATTTGTCTTTCGCTGCCTGGCTTATTTCACTTAGCATAATATTCTCCAGGTCCATCTGTACTGTCCCAAAGGGTACGAGATTCTTCTTCTTTACAGCTGCGTAGTA